TGGGAAAGAGCAGACACTCCTGGTTCTTCAGGCCACGACAACACAGCGGGTCATTTAGTTCAAGCCAGTTTGCTTCTACCTGTCACAAAAGGCTAAGTGGGTGTGTCCACATACGGGTCATTCCAAGATCCTAATTACTGATGAACAGTCCTAAATAACTATTTACTCGTGACCTCTTAGAAGGTACGTAAGCAACAAAATACCTGTTCCCAGGAGACAATTGGCAGCCGGCTGGCCGTACCTTGATCGTATTCATGATTGTTCCCAGAATGGTCCTGCCATTGTAAGACTCCTCCAGCTCAAACTCCCCCCGCAAGGACTGGAACACCTGGTTCATGATCTTCTTGACCTGTATGATGATCAAAACACGTGCTGCCAAAATCGGCTCAGTAAGGGCTGTGCTTCAACTCTACCAAGGGTTTTGGGAGGCTGAAGCGAAGCTGCCTTATAATCCTACCATGGGACATGTGTGGTCACGACCAGAGACACTGAAGGCTGCCACTGTGGAGTGGACAATATTCAACAGTGAGCAGGATTCTGACGGAAGGGCTGTCCGTGAAGCTCCCTATCAAGGGCAGGCAAGCTGTGCTCTGTGTGCCCAAGACGCATACAAGCCATTTATCGACGCCTCCCTCGGCTGTGACCGTCATGAAGAGCTGCCATGGGCTATGAGGAGTAGTAGCGAGTGGATCCCGGACACAGTCCCAACTCCCTCCCCCTCATTCTTCTCCTGAGATTTAGATGCACCTCCCCTATCTGTCAAAATCTCAGAGGACAGGGACCTTTGGAAGTCAGACAAGTGGGGCATCACTGAAGTCAGAACAGCTACCCGGGCAGCACATCGGCCACGTTCTTTCGGAATGCTGACACACGTTCGACCCCTTGCTGTGCGACGGCGTGCCTCTTCGAAATACCAGCTCACCTTCTCTGAGGGGTCAGTAGCAGCTGCTTCAACCCCAGACGTCCGCAACTGGCTCTTCTCCAGCTCCTTGATGTGCTGTTTGTTTTGTTCTGTGAGGGCCTCGACTTGGGCCTGGAGGGCCAAACACTGCAAAATGAACAGGCTATGGGTGTGGCTTTGGGAATGTGGAGTAGCAGGGGACGGTCAGGAAGCCCAAGGGGAGGAGAACCATCCTAAGCCATCCTTAACCTTGAAGACCCGCTGCCCTCTCTCCCCCAGCCTTCGTCTCCACCCCCAGACCTGCTGACCCAGGTATTCTATTTCCTCAGCTTGACTTTCCCTTTCCTAGCAAGGTCACATCCATGCTCCTAGTCAGGTTTGAAGAACAATGAGAAGCGGGGTGGTGGGGTAAGAACTCTAGGCAAGCAACATGGACACTCAGCATTAGCAGCAACCTATCCACCTGACAAGACTGCCTCCTAGTTCTCTGTCAGAGGCTTTCACTGGATGCTTTAAAGAAAGAAACGGGGCTGTCACACTGTGACCCTAGGCCATCTCTCTCCTTTTATATCTGCTACCCCGAGCTCTAGCCTTTCCTGGTGCCTTTGCTCAGGATGTTCTGCCTCCTCCTCTACCACAAAGCTTCTTATCCTTCTCAGCTCTGTTCAAATGTCACCTCCTTTAGGAAGCCTTCCTGGCTTCCCTATGTACTTCCCCTTCTGGGCCCCATAGCACCCTGACTTGACTTCATTTCTCTTTTTCTTTCCCTTTCTTGACTGTGAGATTCTTGAGGGCAGAGTCTTCGTATGTCCTTTCTCTAACACAATGGTTCCGACACAGGTGAAGTTTAATAAATATTTGCTTAATAAATGAAGGATCACTAATAATGGAAGACACGTTCCAGAACACTAATGCTGTTCTTTTCTTTTTCCAGGTCACTGGCCTGTCACCCCCAATAAGAAAGTGAAAGATAAAGGACAAACTGGAGAGTTAGACTAGTGGGATTTTGGTTTCTAGCTATTAACACCATTTACGTTTAAATGGATCAACAGGACTCGAGGGCCCAGGGCAAGCATTTACCTTTTCCTGAAGTTGTATCAGCTTCTGCTGGTTGGCATCTCTCTGCGCGCACACCTCCTGGTACTGCTGCTGGTGTTCATCCTTGGCAGAGGCCAACAGGTGCTCACATTTCGCTTCCCACTGGGTCTGTAATTCCGCCTGCACCAGAGACACCTGCCAAGAGAAAGTAACAGCCATATCCTGACGGTCCTGTTGCATCTCCAGAAGCTCAACTTTCATAAGGCAAAGAATAGGCTGACAGCTCAGATCTAATCAGGGAAAAAAAAAAAAAAAACTATCTGTAAGATTTTAATTATTGGGTCATCAGAAAAGTCATGACAGGGGCCAGCAGGTGACGTGGTACTTAAAGACAGAGGACTCCCACATGGACAATTGTGGTTCGAGTCCTAGACCTGGCAGTCTGCTTTCTCATTCCTCCCCCTGCCCCCTCCCTCTATCCCTCGCTGGTCAAATTAAAGTAAATAAATAAAGTTAAATAAAAATAATTCTTTAAAAAAAAGAAAAAAGAAAAGTTATGACATATTTTTTCACATTCTTCTATGCAAAAATGCATCATGACTTTTCCAACGACCCAATACTTAGAAAGTAATGTTACCGGCTCTCAGAACTCCAACCACACAGAGGCGTGACTATCTAAACAGGTCCTTGGAGGACAAAGCCATAATGTGGCCATCACTGCTCAAGGATCAGACCCTAAACTTTAAAAGCTCAGAAACTTTTTCTTGCCAAAATTCCCACAGGTGATCAAATCAAATGCATCAATGCACTCCAACTAAATAGATATACCCAGATTAATATTTTTAAGAGAAATTTTGTACTATAAGGCATGTGCACTCACTGGAGAAACAGAGAAAGACAGACAGAAGTGAGAAATCACAAGGTCAGCATGTGGCATGGTGGTTAATGGTGCTGGACTCCTACATGGTCAACCACAGTTTGAGTCCCAGACCTGGCAGCTTACTTTCTTACTATCCCTTTCGCACTTTCTCACACTCTGTCCCTCTCTGGTCAAATTAAAACAAACAAATAAATAAAGTTAAATAAAAATAACTCTTAAAAAAAAAAAAAAAGTGTGGCCATGCCGCAATCCTTTCTCTTCCACTGTCTTCTCGGGATTTTGGCCATGCATGCACACACAGCCAGAGTGAGTTTCAAGCCTCTGGGTCTGGGACTAGAACTGCGGTCGACCATGTGGGAGTCTGGCGACGTAACCATTATGCCATCTGCTGGTCCCTACACATGAATTTTAAGGCTTTTTTTTTTTTTTTTTTTGAGAGGTTTTCACTATAGGGTGCGTGCACTCGCAAGACAGACACAGAGAGACAGAAAGCGAGAAATCACCCCCCAGGGGGGATGGCCACACCACAATCCCTTCTCCTCCATTCTCCTCTCGGGATCTTGGGCACGCATGCACATGCGCCCGGCATGAGTTTTAAGCCACTGGGTCCGGGACACGAACCGCAGTCGACTACATGGGAGTCCAGCAACATAGCCATTATGCTAACTGCTGGTCCCCCCTACACATGAATTTTAAACTCGAAAGAGAAGGCTGCCATTGGATGGTTGCTCTTGGAGATCCTGCCGTGTCTTGCCACAGCCCTGGTTTCCCTTCCTGACTACCTAAATACATCCTTTCTTTTCAATTATGATAATGTACCTAAAGGATTGTGTCTGGTGGTTGAGGACTTTGACATTATCATGTTGAAATTTTTTTGCAAAGAGATTTTTTTCATGATCTACTTACATAATTAAAAATTAAGCTGTAAGAGGGAAAAGAGGATTCTTCATTAGGATCCTAGCTTTCTTGTATATATTGGGATTGCCTTTTTCTACCTTCCTCTAAGGTGAGAGCATCAACTAAGAGAAATGTCACCTTTAAGGATATGGAAGAAACCAGAAGCTTTTCTCTGAGTCCCTCACACCTTTCTTTCATTTCCAAATTGCTTCTGTTCCCCATTACCTGCTCTGCAGCTGCCTGGTCTGTGGACACCCGAGTCTTTTTCAAGAGCTGTCGAAGCTTAGCCAATTCTTCCTGGTGTGACTTGCGAATTTCATCTATTTCCTCTTCAGCTTGACAACGCTCTTGAGCAGACTTCTTTTTCCTTTCTGAGAGGTTCTTAGAAATAAGAGAACTGGTTAACAGGGCATAAGGGGATGGTGGTTACCGACCTTGCTGAGTCCTTATTCCATATCTGAAAATGGTTCTTTAGCTTCATTTTTTCCTACATAGTTAACATTCTTGGTTACTAAGAATGACAAAGAGGAAAAAAAAAGAGCTTTCAGGAGCTGTAGACACCCTAACTTTGGTGAGGATGACATCCTCCATCCCACCAACGGACATATTTTCCATTTGGTGACACTTCACCAGCTTTCGTGAGGCAGGGACTCTCACAACATATGGGCAGAAAAAGAAACGAATATTCTCTCTTTGGAAGTCAATCATGTGAAAAGCCTTTACAATCGGCACACTTAGAAATGCCACAAACTGTCATTTATCTTAAGGAAGCTGGAAGTCACGTTCATAAAGACTGTGTATACAAAGATACACTGTAGTAGTGTCTACAGCAATGAAAGGATTAAAAACTGATACACTCACAGATGAAACTAAAAATGCGGACCAACATTACCCCCTATAAAAGAACTAGGCAAAAATAGATTTATTAGTGAGTTTTACTGAAACATAAGAAAGAATGCATTCTTTTTATATTTAAACTGTTCTGGAACATGAAAAAAGACAGAAATGGTCCCACTTTGTTCAACTGGCCTAGTATTACCCTGATATTAAAATTTTAACCAAGATAATATAAACATAGTTAAGAGCAAGCTGAACAAATATTTGCAACATCTATGACTAACAAAAGACTGATACCCTTAAAAAGGTTTACAAATAAAACTAATAATATGAAAGGGGGTAAAGGATATTAAAAAGGTATTAAATATATGAAAGCTTTACTAGCAATACATGTACATATTAAGTCAGGGTAGTGTATTTCACCTGTCAGACAAAAATTAGAAAGAGTGATATGCAGAGCTGGAAAGAGTTTTAAAACTGTAAGTAAGGGGACCAGCAGTTGGCATAATGGCTATGTCGCTGAACTCCCATGTAGTCGACCACAGTTCAAGTCCCAGACCTGGTTGCTTAAACTCATGCCGGGTGCATGTGCGCATGTGCCTAGGATCCTGAGAGGAGAATGGAGGAGAAGGGATTGCGGCGTGGTCATTGCCCCTGGGGGGGGGTGATTTCTCGCTTTCTGTCTCCCTGTCTCTCTCTGTCTGTCTGGCGAACGCACGTACCCTATAACAAAAACCTCTCCCAAAAAAAAGGAAAAAAAAATTTCTCTAAAAAAGAATAATAAATTTTTAGAAAGTTTAAAAAATAGATTTGGGTCCCATCTCTAAGATATCACATTATGTACTTGCAAATATTTCAAAAATCTGAAAAAAATCCAAAATCCCAAATACTCTGGTCTTGGGACACTTAAGACACTTAAGACACTAAACCTGTAGTTGATAGTACTAATGCATGAGATTAGAAATAGGAAAAAGATAATTTTTTAATTTCATCCTTTTATGTATTATTTGTGTTTATTATAATGAGCACATAATATTGTAATTTTTAAAGGAAAAATTATAATGTTTATTAAGCAGATAATGCTGACCACTTGGGTCCAATGAAGAAACTTGGGTTGTAGAATTTACCTTTTCCAGGGACTCCTTCTCAGCTCGAAGGTCAGTCAGTTCCTCCTCTAGGGATGTCACCTTGAGTTCCAGCTGTCTCCGACTCTGCTTTTCATTCCTGAATTTGGACTGTGTTTGTTCTGAAGTTTCTTGGAGTTCTGGGATGTAAAAGTAGAGAGCCTTGGCTGCAGACCCAGTACTGGAGTGGGCTCTGTGACATCCTAGCAGCTCTTTCAAAGCTGCATGCTTCCATTTCCCCATCCGACCACATAACACCCCCCACTCACTTCTGTCAGCATCACCTCACTGACCATGACAGGATCTACCAAACCATAAGCTGACCCTCCCATCAACCTGTGTTTATCCTGTAGGAAGTTCCACACACAAAAACAAGAGACCACCTTTGAAACAGATCACTTGACAACTGTACCTTGGTCACCATCCTAAGACAAGCAGATCTTTGTTTAGTACTGGCCCAGGGCCTTTCTTACTTTCTTACTTTTTTTTTTTTTAATTTTGCTAGAGGGCAGGTAATATTCACTAGAGAGAGAGGGAAAGTGAGAAACACCCTCCATAGGGCATACTCAAGCCATAATTCCATCTCCTTCATTTCTCCTTTTGAGATCTTGGTCACACCTGTAGCATGTATTCTTCAAGCTGCTGTATCTGGAACTAAACCAATTGGCTGCATGGGCTCCAGCTGCCTTAACCACCATACCACGTGCTGACCTGATATTCCCAACTAAACTTGGTAGCTGAGTTATTCAATCAAGAGTTCGCTTTCGAAGCATCCCTTCTTAAAAGATGTACAATTAGCAGGACCAGCAGTTAGTGTAACGGCTCTGTCGCTGGACTCCCATGTGGTTGACCACGGTTCGAGTTCTGGACCCGGTGGCTTAAACTCGTGCCGGGCGCGTGTGCATGTGTGCCCAAGATCCTGAGAGGAGAATGGAGGAAAAGGGATTGCGGCGTGGCCATCCCCCTGGAGGGTGACTTCTCGCTTTCTGTTTCTCTGTCTCTGTCTTCCTGACAAGCGCACGTGCCCTATAGCAAAAACCTCTCTAAAAAAAAAAAAGCACAATTATTACATGTAAATTTTGTAAAAAAATCCCTTCTCAAACAAAAGCTATCTGGAATTAAAACAAAATAATACACTAAAATTTACTAGTTCGGAAAACTTCTAAGATTCGTTGGCTCTTGAGATAATTGTCTTTGGGCATCAAAAAGCGGGGGCGGGGGGCAGCAGGTGGTGTGATGGTTAAGGGCACTGGACTCCCACATGGTTAACCATGGTTCAAGTCCTGGACCTGGCAGCTTGCTTTCTTGCTTTCTCTCTCTTTTTGTGTCTCTCTCTGGTCAAATTGAAAAGAACAATAATGATAAATAAAATAAATAATTTTTTTTTAAAAATTTAAAAAACATGGGACCAGCAGGTGGCAAGGTGGTTAAGGCACTGGACATTCCCACATGGCCAACCATGGTTCAAGTCCTGGACCTGGTGGCTTGCTTTCTCACTTCCTCTCTCTCTTTCGCCCTCTCTCTCTCTCTTTGGTCGAATTAAAATAATAAATAGATGAATAAATTTTAAAAAATTAAATTAAAAAATTTAAAAAAACAACAGAAATAAGGTATCTTCATGACATTTAAATTTAAGAATGTCCAACACATTTGCCTCATGTGGGCGCAAGTGATGCTCTAAAAAGGTAAGAAATGCATCTTTAAGGTGCCACTGTACCAGATGATGTCATGTTTCCCAGCTCTCCACTAGGCAAGTGAACTCTGCTATTGTTCCTGCTGCTCCCTACCATGGTCCCATCTGTGCCTTCCATATCTGTTTTTATACACCAAGGTAGATGAGTCAACATGCTGATCTTCACAAATCTGCTATCCAATCACCATGTCTGGAGTGGCGCCTTTGTGCTAGGAACTAACACCACATGGAGGAAAGGACTTTAGGAAGATAAGCAAGGCTATCCTTGCCCTCAGGGGCTTGTGCCCTGGAGGGGAACAGGCATACAAGTGGTGCCTATGAAAGGCTAACTTTGATAATGGTTATAATAATGCACTAGAGAGAAGAATTTTCTTTTCTTTTCTTTTTTTTTTTTTGGAGAGGTTTTGGTATAGGGTGCGTGCGCCCGCCAGACAGAGAGAGACAGAGAGACAGAAAGCGAGAAATCACCCCCCAGGGGGGATGGCCACGCAACAATCCCTTCTCCTCCATTCTCCTCTCGGGATCTTGGGCACGCACGCACACACGCCTGGCGTGAGTTTAAGCCACCAGGTCCGGGACTCAAACCGCAGCTGACCACGTGGGAGTCCAGCGACATAGCCATTACGCTAACTGCTGGTTCCAAGAATTTTTTTTTGAGAGGTTTTTGCTATAGGGCATGTGCACTCACCAGAAAGACAGAGAGAGACAGAGAGATAGAAAGCAAGAAATCATCTCCCAGGGGGGATGGCTATACTGTAATCCCTTCTCCTCCCGGGACCTTGGGCACACACGCGGTACCTGGGGCACACACGCACACGCGCCTGGTGTGAGTTTAAGCCACTGGGTCCGGGACTCGAGCCACGGTCAACTACACGGGAGTCCAGTGACATACATAGCCATTACACTAACTGCTGGTCCCGAGAGAAGAATTTTTAAAGGAGAAATAAAAACATTCTTAGAACAATAACAACTGGAGAAGCTTCTGACAAAAGCAGATTGTGGAGAGGGTTAGACACAAATCTTGGTAAGGGTGGAACACCAAGCCCAGAGAGTATCATTAATAAAAATGAGACAAGATCTACAGTACGTGCTGAAGAGTAGCCAGCAGCAGGCTTGCTGGTGTGCTCAGAGCTAGGATGAACTGGGCAATGCAACGGGAGATAAGCCAAGCCTGTGGGGCTTTGAATGCCAGGCTGAAGAGCTGCAATCCATCCTCTAGGAAAGAGGAAAGCAGACAGGAAACACCTCTTACTTTGTATTTATTTATAAAGAACTGTTTATTTAATCTTATTTATCATTATTATAATTTTAAAATTTGCTACAGGGCATGTACGCTCACCAAAGAGAGACAGAGAAAGAGAGAGTGAGAAAGAGAGAGCAAGCTGCCAGGTCTAGGATGTGAACTACAGTTGGCTATGTGGGAGGAGTCCAGTATCTTTTTTTTTGAGAGGTTTTTGCTATAGGGCGCGTGTGCTCGCCAGAAAAACAGAGAGAGACAGAAAGCGAGAAATCACCCCCCAGGGGGGGTGGCCACGCCTCAATCCGTTCTCCTCCATTCTCCTCTCGGGATCTTTGGCACGCATGCACATGTGCCCGGCATGAGTTTAAGCCACCAGATCCAGGACTCGAATTGCCGTCGACTACATGAGAGTCCAGCGATACAGTCATTATGCTAACTGCTGGTCCCAGGAGTCCAGTACCTTAACTACCATATCACCTGTGGCCCCAAAGCACCTCTTTCTTCAATTCCCACTGAGTCATGTGTTAGAGGAACACAGTAAGTCTTATAGGCACGTGAGGCCAATCACAAATACCAAAGATACTCAAAGCAACACTTCCCCAAGCAAAGGGGAACTATGGCAACAGATCAATTTCAGATTAGTAGTCAGTTCTTTTATTGTTCTTTACGTAAAACAATTGTGTACATTTTATATTGGTCCATCTTAATTTTTGGTTCAGTCCTTTACAAATTTCATGAGTATAACACCAAAAGGATGGAGGGAAGGTAATGGCTTAATTCTGTAAGTCTAAATGGCAAAAACCCCAACATCCCCACGAAAGACATACCTGAGAGCTTTGCCTGCAGTTTGGTGAGCTGGCCCCTGAGCTGATCTGTCTCCTTTAAGCTTTCTGTCAGCTGCATCTGCAGTTCCATTTCTTTCTTTTGGTGAGCAGTCAGTTTCAGCTGCAGATGAGAGACCTGTGCAGTAGCTGCGGCTAACTCTTCTGTCACCTTGGCCTGAACAGTGACAGAGGATGACATCACTTTAAGCATAGGTGTTCTCTGTCTCTAGGTAATGATCCAACCTCACATAACTCCATGCTGACATAACTGGTGGACAGGAAGGGAGCTAAGGGTACTATATTCAACCCACCTTAAACCCAAACGAGCCTTAACAATGTACAGTCTCTGACTCAATTCCCTTGCAGAAATTTGTCCTCAGGAAATATCACATAAACTACAAAAATTCTGCTACCAGGAATGTTCAGAACACTATTGTTTATAGTTGTAAAAGAATCAAAACCTGGGCCAGCAGGTGGCATGGTGTTTGGGTGCTGGACTCCCACACAGATGACTATGGTTTGAGTCCCAGACCTGGCAGCTTGCTTTCTCACTATCCCTCTCTCTCTCTCTCTCTCTCTCTCTCTCTCTCTCTCTGTCTCACTCTGGTGAGCACATATGCCCTATAGTAAATTTAAAATAATAATAATAATGATAAATAAAAATTAAATAATTCCTAAAAAAATAAATAAAAAACTAAAACAAAATGCTGAGAAATTGACTAGATTAAGCACATTTGGATATACAGGGTCTTCCAAAAGTTCATAGAAAATGAATATTACGATTATGCACGCATGGATTTCAAAATTATTTTGCACCTAACTGTGCTCTCTTATACAGCAGTAATGTGCTTCTCAAGAGAAGCTGTAAAGCACATGTGACCACAGTTTGAATCCCTAATACGGTGAGCCTAAAACATTGGGCACACAGGCATGTATTCAAGTGCCCAAGATCTGACAGACAGAAGGGTTGGGTAAGGGAACCATATGTGACCAGACACTGTGGAGGATGCCTGTCTGTCTCTCATGCTCATGTGCATACATACACACTCTGTCATAAATAAATAAGAAAAAGGCCTCAAAAACGTTTTTTGCATCAAAAGAAACTCATATTTTTTTAGAATTATTTATTTTATTCATTCATTAATTCATTTTTTAAAAAAATTTTTAAAGAATTATTTTATTATTAAACTTTATTTTATTTTATTTTATTTTTTTTTTGGAGAGATTTTTGCTATAGGGCGCGTGCGCTCGCCAGACAGACAGAG